CAAGGTGTACCTTTCATCTCCTCTCAGCACAATTCCTCCTTTCACCTTCCCTTTCATTCAGGATTGCTCCTTCTTTTTAACTACTCAATGTTCTCCTAAGAACGCTATGAGAGAAGCTGCACTGACTTTGATTTGCCAACCGATCTTACCTGATCCAGATCCCCAAGTTACCCTGCAGGTTGGGCACAGGTCTTTCCACCAGGCAATGTTTCTTGCTGCCCACTGAACAGCATTTTTTGCTACGCCAGGAACACACTTGGAGCAAAGCAGTATTAAGGGTACTAAGGCTCTTTCACATTTTTGCAGTTGGGACACCAGCAACAACACGCTCAGCCTTAGCACCGTCCCAGGGCAGCATGGAATTCCTGGCTAGCCCCACTCAGTAGGTCTGTCTCTACCTGCTGCGGCATCAAACACACTCTGCCTGCAGAGGAGGCTGGGAAGAATTGGCATAGGGCAGATTTATTCACTACAGTCTTCCCTTTCCAAGTTATCTTCAGTAAATTCCCAGCTGTTTACTTGGACTGCTGTATGTGTTTCTAGAAAAGACCAATCTGGATACTCTGGGGACAAAAAATTGCCTATGATAATCACTGTATAAAAAAAATAAACAATCTGGACTAGTTCACAAATTAATAAATTCCATCTACAAAGGCTTCCGTGCAATAGACAATGCTGAACAATTTCCCACTTTTCTGCCACCTCTGGGCTTACTTTGGGAAAGACTGCCATGAAGCAAAAAAGCAATGGACAACTTTAATAAGCTCTGTTATTCTCTATTTCATTCCTGGTGCTCTAAACACATCATGAGGTCAAAGTAAAACTCTTAGCAGGTCGTATTTCTGTGCCCTTTCATGCATAAGCTAGAATCAGCAACTTCAAAGCGATTCCACTAAGGCTTAAGGTGAAAAAAGATGCAGGAGGCCTGCTGAGGTAACAAAATAAAGGCAGAAGGAAACAAGTTGACCTGGAAAGTCGTGGCAACTCAAGCTCTCTCTAGCACAAAAGACTGCATCACAAAGCATTTTATAGAAAACAAATAGCTTTTATTCTAAGCTATTTTTATGTCAGATGCTAATTAAATAACAACAACAACATTTTTAGCAGGGCCTGTTGCAATAGGACAAGGAGTAGTGGTTTTAAACTAAAAAAGGGCAGATTCAGCCTAGATATAAGGAAGAAATTTTTACAATGTGGGTGGTGAAACACTGGCACAGGCTGCCCAGAGAGGTGGTAGAAGCCCCATCGCAGGAAACATGCAAGGTCAGGTCGGACAGGGCTCTGAGCAACCTGATGCAGCTAAAGGTGTCCCTGCTCACTGTAAGGGGGTTGGACTAGATGGCCTTTACAGAGGTCCCTTCCAGCCCAAACTCTTCTGTGATTCTATTATCTTTCCTAGAATTTATTTTTTTTAAAAAAAAAAACCAAACAAACCAAACAACCCTGCAGGTAGTCAGTTTTACTCACAATTGCATCACAGTGCACAGACCTGAAATTGCTTTGCTGATCTGAAACAGCAATTGTTCTTTCCTTTTTAAAGCATAAAATGTTGCTGCCAAAGAAGTAGCCAGAAAAATTTAAGGTAAACACTAGTGTTGAGCACAAAAGAATCCTCTAAATATTAACATATCTAAAATGATAGCTAGAATCCGTCAAATGAAACATCAGCACATAAAATTCAATAGAAATTTAAACTGTCTTCTAAGTTCAAAATCAACCTTGTGTCAGTAATTGCTGGAACACTGGGCCAGTACACGTCAGTCGTACACACACAGATGGAATCCACCACTCTCTTATTCATACTCAGTGATTTTGTAACAACCACCACCTGTTCTGTGTTCACCATACTTGCTTGTAAGAAACAACCAAATAGAAAATACTGCCAATGTCTAAGAAGCTCAAGCAGAAACATATTTTGTACCCTTCTCTGAAAAATCAAACCAGTGAGTCAATGTTTTCCCACTGCAAGCGAATGTTATTTGAAAAATTTCAGTCCTACCTTAACTTTAAGCACAGAAGAAAACATTTTGGCATCTTCAGACACTCCTCCAATGTACACTTTTTTGGTAAAGACAGGCACATGGTCATTTTCATCCTTCACTTCAACAAATACCTTGGCTGTATTACCTAAAAGAGGGAATGAAAAGTATACATAGAACACAAATCTTTAACATCTACTGGAGTTCATACACTTACAGCCCAAACAGATCATGTAAAATAAGTGTATGGATAACACTGTACAAATAAATACATTAGAAATAACAACACATTTGTTATGAAAAGTATGAACTTGAAGGAAGTCAAGAGATTTCATGTTTGGTTTGTTTTTTGGTGTTTTTTTTAATCTATCTTTTTTCCCCTGCCTTTCCCATTTTTTTCTGATTGAATCTCATTTTAACTGGGAGCTGAATTCTGTTCCTTTATAGAAAATGATTCCCATTATCTGCATGCCTGCACTTTGCTAACAGGGCTGTCTGAATTTGCCTGTAAGCAAAAAGCTGCCATTCTTTCTTTAGAAAGCAAGCTATTTGGGGGAAACAGAAGAAAAGCCCTGAAACTAATTTTTCAAGTAACTAGAAAAGCACAAGCAAGAATATCGTACTTCAGTTACACAGATTTTGGTCACATTAAATTCTGCCAAGCGTTATAAAGAGGTAATGAACAGGCGATGTACACTAGTAGTTATGCTGCAAACAGCAGCTTGCTTTTTCCACTTCATGTGCAGCTTGCTTTATGTATTTTCATCATTACTAACTCCCACGCAAACACTTAATGGGCAATTCTGCCATGGTGTCTGCAAACTCACCAATGGTCATACAGCAGCGCTGGCCAAGCAGCTTCGACACCTAACGAATAGGCTGTGTTAATTGAATACATGCCTAAGCCTGTCTTGGTCGCAAACCTGGCCTGGCCCATGGGAACTCAAGAAGCATTTCTAGAGGTTAAACACCACTTCAAGCAAAATACCACTGTTTATTTGTCTTTTATTAAACAGTTACTGATCCACCCATTGAACAATAAACATCTCATCTCTACTTCTGTGAGGAAAAAACACCTAGCAAAAGCTATGGATCTAGCACAAAAAGGACTCAACTGCGCAGTAATCTATACCAACATCTATTTGTCTTTCTCAGAACTGTATAATCCAGAAAGATTGCTGGAAATGATGATATCTAGTTCATTAAAACCACATTTTCAAGTGATAAATCGCCTCATTTCAGAGTTGGTTTTCCCAACTTGTTTCAGTGCCAGGGTAATTTAAATGTTGCACAGGTGCCACACTGATCTGAGTTCACTTAAAAACACAGTCTCATTTAGAAAGAGCTTTGTAGCTGTATCTTTAGGGGACACAAAATTTAAACCCCAGACTATTTCTTAGGCTGCCAAAGTCACCAACGATATTCTGTCTGACAGTCCAGCTGATGGGAAACACATAAGGAATTTATAAACATAACTAAAACCTGAGAAAAACATTTAAAATGCTATCCAGTGTATTAGTACGGAGAGAAGAAACAAAAAGAAAGGAAAGAAAGAATGGAAATTACATTTCCTCAGAGGAATAATCAATTATTCACTTTCTACACTGATCTGTGCAGAGATGGTAAACAACTTGTAGGTGCTGCTACTTCATGGGAAAATGACTTCATGACAAGCTCTCTTTTTATGGATGTGAAAAAAGAAAGCCATAATCGAGCATCCAAATGCGTGTCATGTGGAAATAAGGGTCTGTCTGTAATCATCTCTAGTTTGCTTATGTTCATGTTAAAGGAACGCTTCTTACCTTGACTACATTATTTATTACAGCAAAGAAAAGTTTCAGTCAAAGAGCTACTGGGGGGTCCTATGAATAGTCAAATCTCTCTCTTGTTAAACCAGATCCTCAATGTTTCTGGCTGCAATACTAAGTTACAGCTAGAAACTGCAGCCCTGATGAGAAAAACAAGATTCCCAGGCAGGCTTTCTCACAGCTACTACACTCTATAGGGAAGAAGGCAATTGAAGCAGGTATACAGGCAATGTGTGTAAGTGACCTTACCCTGCTGAGCTAATAAACAGTTATATCAATGGCTGACACCAGTTTACTGCTGTAGGGGAGATCCTAATTGTATCACGTCCAGCGCTGGTAGGACTAGGCATTTGCTAACCTGCACTAGCTCTCTCTAATGCAAATCAAACATCTTTTGCATGGTGCTCACTGCCTTCATCATTTCAAGCCAGTTTCGGTTAGGTGGCTTGGCCTTGTGCAAACTTTGCTTCGCAATTTGCTCAAAACCATTTATTTAATTTGCTGGTAGTTTTCTGAGCTGCCAAACTGCTGATTTGTTTAGTGATGGTTGAATGCTTTGAAATTGAGAAATTAAAGTTATTACATGAAGTGCAAAGCAAATTAAATATCCCGCATATATACAGACTAACATTAGCATCATTACCATTAAATTAAACATATACCTTCATTTTCCCTTATTGCCTGATTTTCATACACAGCTTATATTTCATTCATTCTGGCAGACCGGGGAAAGCAGCATCTGTGAACCCCTCGCTACCACGTGCTTTTCATCCCAGTCCAACCTGCAGCTGGCCATCGCCAACGACTCCCAGCCAGTGACAGAGGTCACCTTATTCTCACATCAGCTAAGCCTACAAGAAGCGCACGTTAAAATCCCTCATCAGAAGGGATGCGCCACGTGTGCGAAGGCTGTACCAGACCTCTTGCTATGGGGATGTTCCCAACCACTCTGCTGGGCTCAGTCAGATATCCCCTGCACGTGGGGCTCGGTGGCCAGGGCCTGCTGCTCCTACATCCACCACCCCTGCACCTCCAGTGTCCTGCCTCATTGAAAAAGCCACCCACCCTGAGCATGTTCTTACAGAGTCTGGTTTAGACTCTGGCATTGAACTCTTTTTCTCTTCCTATTCCAAATTCGTTAATGCTTGTTCTAAAGATTGTTTGTGTGTGGCTCTAGCCCTCTTCGTTGGCACCTGAAGGGATGCAACAGCATCAGCTATATAATGTGCACCGTCAGTTACTGATATTCTCACTGGTAGGAGGACAGTGAACACCAGAGGACATCACTATTTACACTCACCTTCCAGAGGGTAAGTTTAGTATCCCCACGTATGTAAAATCTTGCTGCTTTGGTCTTCTATATCTGGAATCCAGGTCCAGTTACAACCTTTTTCATGGATTCCAGGAGTTGAAACCAGAATTTACTCCTCCATGGTACTTCTTGAGAGACCTCATGCAATCAAAGTATAATCCTTATTACTGTGACTGAGCTACCTAAACAGCTGGCCAGGTGAAAGAAGAAAAAGCATCTTTCCCTGGACAAAGCAGCACAGGACTGCCAAGGTGGCTAAAAAGAGCAGAGAAGAAAATTGATTGAGTGCTATAACTGCCTTCCTTCAGCTGTAAGGGAAGTGCTTCTCTGCACACAAAGAATGCAGATAATACCTGATAAGCAAACAGTTTCTTTAGTTTTGCTGCACATTTTTATTGCGAAGACACATTTATTGTCTGGATTTTTCACACCAATTAGTTCGACAGTCATGAAGGTCAAATCAGCCTCCCCGACAATACACCGCAAAGGAAGTTTCTCCATCACCACCTCCTGCAAGGTCTCCTGTGTCACGTTTGCCTCCTCTCTTCTACACCCCCCTGAGATGAGCTGCAGTGCACCAAGAATACCAAACTGCAGCTGCTTGTAAGCCATCTTCAGCTTCTAAGATCCAGAGATACTGCATGTCCTGCTCCAGCTAAATTATGGTTTTTTGAACGCTGGCAAAGTGTCAACTGCTTTGAGTGTTACCAAATTTGTTTTACATTATGCTTTCACCAATGATACTGCACTTCTTTTCTACAATATGCCAAACCAGCCACTGATACAGCTGCTCTTCATGCATCGATAATTTTAACATAAAAAACCTGCATCTAGATTAAGAAGTGGCTGTTTGCTCTGCAGTCAGTAACAGCAGATTCTTCTCTTTTAAAAGTTCATTTTAATCAAACTGGGAATGAGAACTGTAATTTGTCAGAGTTCAATAGCACTTTGCCTTACTACTGTCTTACAAGTCTGTGGAGCAGACTTCGTGCTTTGGCAGGTGAACCAAACCGAACTACAGCTGCGCTTAATCTCGCCTTACTAAATTTGGCAGAACCACATAGGAATCAGCACCAAGTATTTTTCAGTGGCATTTTGATCTAAATCAGCATGTGCCCATCAAGCCTGAAGAAGCTCATCATATGCTGTAGCTGATCAAGAACAGTGCAAAAAGAAGCTTTGACAAGACATATACAGCAACATATTTCAAACAGCACTGATCCAAGGTCTGATTTAAATAAATATAAAACATCTTTTTTTTCTACCAAATCATTAATTGAAAGGGACCTCATGTTTTATGCAGTCTTTCTAAACTACATTGGTTTGTTGCCCAGAGAAATTTGAAGTTTGTCTCATCAGCTTTCAGGGAAACTACCCCAGAGCTGTGTGGCAGAGGAGGCAGATTCACAGCTCTTTAGGCTCTGCAGCAGATTTTGTCCATCTGTCAGGTCTCCCCGCTTCAAGGCCTGGCACGGCAGCCAACTGACAAAACACCACCAGCAGGAACTTTTGCAACATCTTTGAAACTAAAAATGTAAGGCTACCTGAAAAGTCAGTAATACAGGGATACAGAATTTTCATATTTACCTTAGAAAACTATCGTTCCCAATTAGTACAGAGCAGTTGCAGAATTTTGGTTACAAAACCAGTTTTACCCCTTTTCGCGTTACGATTCCCAAAGGTTTGTTTTGTGATTAGAAAACCAAAAACATTACAGGAGAGACAGAACTGTTCTTGTACCCTCCAACACCCACAGCAAAGCCCTGCCTCACAGCTGGGATTACGGCAGCAATCCAACAACAGAAAAAAACCCTCCTCTGGTCAGTGTTTCTGCACACATCTGGGGAATGGGTATGCACCACTTCTTGCTTGGAGCTGTGCCAAAGGTGAAAAATAGTTCTAACTGAATGAATAAAACATGTAAGTAATAAATTGAAAGGTGCATTTTTGCTTAAAAATCTTTTGATACCAAAATCAAAAACATCTCTACCAAGATCACATATTAACACCTCTCAGCGAACGCAGTAT